TCAATTACAAGTATGTAAAGGTATTATTGAATTACAACAAAATAACAAGAGGATACGATTTTTTTGAGAATATATATTGATAAAAATAACAACGTTAATTACTTAACTTAAGCATATTTAACTCCTTTCCATACGGACGTGCCTTCGATGATACATTTACAGCCGCAACCGGTTGGGCAGTTGTCGTGTTGAGAGAACCTAAAACATATTTTTAGTCTACAATTTAATTTTGAAACATTATGAAGCTGCATTACAGCTGTTTCGACACAGAACACTGATGAACAGACACGTCAATAGACTAAAATAATTAGTTTGCATCACAGATGGAACATCTGAAGAATAAGTTGGAGGATACCACGTGTAAGCTGTAATGCCTGGTTTACATTGTGCCAGTACAGCAGCACCGTAGCCATGGCCTGGTATGAACTGATTTGACTTAATGGCACCAGTTGCTGTGTACATTATGCTAGTTGTATGCTTACCAGGTGTGTAGATGTTGTGCGTGTCCGGCGTGTCCGCAGAGTGCGCAGGCGACGGCGAGGCCGCGCACGCCGAGCGCGCAGACTGCGCAGCGCAGTGCGGGTCGGCGACAAGCTGCGCACGCGCCGCCGCGGCACACGCGTCCGCACCACGCGCACTCCCACACCGCCTCCGGACCCGGCGACGACACACGCTCCGTGCGGCTTTGCACTAACTTCATCACCTACGGTATAAACTTATACTTACAAAAAATACTATTGTAAATGGATTATGGAACTTTATGAATTCATCATCAACCTGCCTTTTTCCCTATGGAGAGTATTACCTCTGTTCTCTTGTACAAGAGCTGCCACCGATGCAGTATGTCGGCGTAGACCCGCTTGAAACAGTTGTAAAGGTGCGCTGTGCGCTCGTCCAGCACACAGGCGGCTCGCTCCGACCGCCACAGCGACTCCGTGTGGAAGTTCTCCGCCTCGGAGCACGAGTTGCTGCGCAGTATGATAGGCAGCGTCCACCCGTCCGCGCTTATCTCACTGTACTGGTTTACTGTACTGTACGGTGACGTTCTATTCCCCTAGACAATGAAAATGCAAGCGTATTGTGTTTCAGTTTTACAAAAATACAAAGTAGAATATAAATTATCTGTATAAAACTTACACAACTCGATGTACTGATGGTAGATTGTGAGCTTGAACTATTTATGTCGCTGAAAACTGCAAACGCACTCGCCAGCATGGCGGCCATTTGCAGATCTGAAGATTTAGCGTAGTGTGATATTCTGTAAAAAAAATATTTTCAAATTTTTTCATGTGTAGTAAATTAGTAGAATGCTATAGGAATTAAGTTTGTCACAGTGAAGGGAAAAGGTGTTCAGAGTAAATTTGTTAAGATTGTACTCACAAGGTCTGCACGAGGTTGCAGCAGAGCGGGTGTCCGACCCAGCCCATGCTCTCCTCGCTGGAGGCGAGGTGGTCAACAAGCTTCGCGGCGAGTGCCCGCGCCGCCAGACCCGCTAGGCACCATGAGTGCGCCAGCTCCACTTCGCCCTCCTCTGTCGCCACTTTTGCGTTCCTCTCACACATATCTACAAAGACAACATTTCATTCCAAAATACCAGTTTTATAAACTGATGAAAGAATTCTATAGTCTCAGTTATACAGTACCAACAGGGTCGTCTGCATTGACGATGTATTTCTCAGCCAACGTCCTGTTTAAGGGAAAGAGGTTGGTGGCTGCGTAGACCACGACGCGCGGCGACGAGCAGCCCGATATGCTGCCGCGGCTGCGCATGTTGCCCGCGCGCCGGCTTTGAGCTTTCTTAAATCATACCAAAATAAGTGATTTTTCAAAACAGTAATAAAAAGACGATGGAAAAAAATTGTGTAATGTGGTTCTTTTGTTTACAATGTGTTTGATAGGTGGAAAGTCATAGTTAAATAAGGACGTACACATTTAAGAGTAATAAAAAATTATAGTAGGCCAAGATAACTTACCCATCTATCTTGAAAATAGAATGTGGTGATAGAATTTGAGGCGTGTCTGTGATGCAGCTGGGGAAAGCCGGAAGCGTTGGTGGGCGAGGGCGTGGTGGTGGCGTGCGGGGAGACGGAGCTGTAGCCGCCGGCGAACAGGCCCGGGGTCAGCGACAGCGAGGACATGGAGCGCGGAGTGCCCGCCTCGTGCTTGAGGGACAGCCGGCGCGCGTTGGCCGGCCGGTTGAACACCACCAGGGTACTGACGCCGCACCACTTGGCGCCGCACGTCCGCGGGAAAGGGATGCACGAATCACCCGCGTTCTCACTCTCCGATTGACTTCGCTGACTTGACTTCATAGAGTCCGTATCGTCGTTAGACTTTACTGGAATCTTGGAGGATAGAAAATGTTTAAAAATACAAATAATATTCTGAGAAAAAGTCTTTCAAGTAGTAAAATACTCATCGATAGTTAAATAACGAAGTAAAATAACAAAGAATGTTACCTCATCAATTGATGTGGCCAAAGTTTTTAAGCAGTGCAACAGACACCTATGTCCTTCTTTCTTTTTACGATACGCCGTTTTGTTGATGGCTTGTAATATTTTTATTGTAGTAGCACTATCAACGTTAGTTCCCGAAAGCCAGGAGAACTTTGGAATGGTGAGCTCGGTAACATTTCTAGGGAAAGTTACTTGTAAATTTGCAATATAACCATTGCGTTCTGAATGAATTTGGCAGGTCCGTGTTTCTATATTCATATCTGTCACTTCAATGTTTGCCATTTCTCTAATTGACTCAAATTCCTCATCAATAGATGTATTTTTATGTGTTATTTTATTCTGAAAACATCAATTAAGATTTAAAAAAAAACAGAGAACAACAAATTCATCAATGTAATGGAAAGCTAAACAAACCATTTGTATATCCTTATCATTTTGTGAGAGATCAGTTACAGAGCCCACTGTTGATGCGTAACTAACTGTAAGAAACATTCAAATAAATACTTCTACTTGTATTACATAAATTCGTTAAATGTTTGTTAGAAGTTTTGAAAAAAGGTTGAAATAATGTGGTGGATTGAAAATAGTTTTACTAATAAACTTTGTTCAAATTAAAAAGAAATACCAAACTGATTTAATTCTTTTTTCAAAAGTCTGGTTACAGACAGTTCTAAATTTAAAACTCTGCTACATTCTTTGCAATTTTTTTTAATGTTACCATGTCAAAAAAATGTAAATAAAATGATTTGGGTTAACTCACAGTCACTGTTATTATCTTCCTCACCATCTACATCGTCAGGTAAATAATGTGAGCACATTTTTAACAGCGATGGGTGCATTGTCCATATTCTCAAAGACTGATCCCTGCCCCATGTTATCAGCTGATAATTGGATGGGGAAGTGTTTGGTCTCCATACCATGGTTTGAACAGTGTCTGTATGTCCCACTAATCTGGTGGTTAAAGTACCTCCTACCCAGATGCCAATGACTCCTGCTTGCTCAACTCTAGGTAATCCTCCCCAACCAACACCAATGGTCAACAAGCCACTTCCAAATGGTGTATAAATTGCTCTCCATACTGGAAAATTTGTTGTTATAACATTCTCAGGTCTTCTAGCATTATTAATGTCAAAGTATTTTATACTTCCATCATGACTAGAGGTGACTAGCTGATATTCATGATGTGGGCTCCAATCTACACCATGGATTTTACACAAATGAGCTGAAATATAATGTATTGGAGAACTTGGTTTTCTGTAATCCCATATCTTAATATCTCCATCATGTGCAGTAGCTACTATATGAGAAGCAACTTTATTCCATTGTACTTGGGAGGCTCCAGCTGAAATATACCAAATAAGTTTACAGACAATGTTTATCATTTATTTAATAGCAAGAATAAAGACATTCTGAATGAGATAAGTGTAATCACTTATGTAAACATCTGTGTTTACTTATGTAAATGAGTAGCAGTACAACAATTACATTTAATTAACAGAAAATTGCACAGCTTACCAACAGCACATAATGATACTATGGGTTTTCTTGCATCTCTTAAATCCCATAAATGTGTGAAAGTATCTATAGAGCATGTTGCAAGGAGATTGTGATCTTGTCTGTGAAAATGAGTATCACTAACGACCCGCGTGTGGGCGCGTAATGAACATATACATGTGAGATCATTGCCCGCACGCCATTCATACACGTCAACTCGTTGGTTATTCTATAATATAAAAATTAGATAAATGATTTAACGATATTATTAAAAAAGTAATAAAAATACTAAAAATATGTTTACAGCAATAGCACAGAGGTTTTTCCCTTGATAGTTCTGGCACCATTCCGCCCCAGCTACATCGTATTTACTATGACGAGGATACTTTTTAACGATATCACCGAGTGTGTCATCTTCTAGGTTTATCTGTTTAATGGCCAGCCACCTTCGTCCTGCTAACAAAACATTGTTACCCGAATAATCAACAGACATAGCGGTTGCCTGCAATTCTCTGTACTCCCATTTCATAACTTCAGAACTCCAATGGACCGACATATTAAAAAAAGATAAAAATATGAAAACTTCCTTAAACTAACACAAATATGAGTCTTTATTTAGTATGTTGGCCTAAAAACTAAATTAGTAAAATCATATCGATACAAAACAACTAATATGTCATCACAATTTGACAGTCAGCTGTTGTTGAAGTTGAAGTTTACATTCCATTCCACGGCGCTATTCCTTATCCTTACGCTTTAGTGCAAGTATTGAGTTTTAAAATAAATATCACAAAATCCACACTTGCTTAGAACAAAACAAATACATATATATTATGGGTGATTATTTAAGAATATGCAGTTTTCATTGTCGATTTCTTGCAATAAAAATCTCTCATGCCTCTATGTCCACTTGTTGTATTATATTTTGTTTGTTAAAAAACAACTTGTTGATGTCAAGTTGTAACTGTCACTGTCAAAGTATTGAAATCGATCAACAACGATTAATATCTTTTGTATGGGATTTTATAAAATGAAATACTTTTCGTGTTTTATGTAAAAGAAAATCATAATAAATATAAAGCTACTATATTCACAAATAAAATTATGGTATTAATTTTAAGGACCTGGCGCCGGAAAATATTGTTTACTGCAATACTTCAGTTTATTATTGGTTTATTTTTAATATACTTTTATTGTGAATATGTTATTTATTATGTTATTCAAATACAGGTACTTTGATTCAGGACTAAAAATAAATCTATTTGAACCATGTCAATAGTTCTAGTATACTATGTTCATCAATTTTTTATAATTAATGTTTGTTCGAAGTGCGGATGGCCGGCTCTTACGAAACAACCCATAGATGGGCTAAAACCAGTGCAAGCAATGGTTCTAGCAGATACTCATTTGCTCGGTTCTCGAAATGGGCATTGGTTTGATAAATGGAGAAGAGAATGGCAGATGCATAGGGCTTTTCAAACAGCTATGACTTTACATCAACCAGAAATAGTTTTTGTTTTAGGTATATTTTTCATGCTTATTTTCCGTATTTATGAAATTTATGACACTCAAGTGGTTTTATTTTTTCATTTGAAAAAAAAAATTGTTTGCAGGAGATTTATTTGATGAGGGTAAATGGTGTTCCCAGAAAGAGTTTGATGAGTATGTCAAAACATTCTTCAATTTATTCAAAGTACCAGATGAAACATCTATGTATTTTGTGGTTGGCAATCATGATATTGGATTTCACTACAGGTAATTCTTTCTTTCTAGGAAAAGGGTGGAAAGGCAAAAGGACTAAAATTGGGTCTCCAGTGTGTGGTTGTGTTACACTAGTCCTGGTCCATTGCAACTGACATTGTTGCTGCTGGCATCTACCACTGTTATATACTAGACCTATATATAATATCTTCATAATAACTATTGTTTGATGATTCCTTGATATATATTAAGCATGTTAATTTTCAAGCATTACACCACAACTTCAGAGTAGATTTGAAAAACAGCTAGCTGCTCCTCCTGTTAAACTAATAAGTATTCGAGGGAATCATTTTGTCCTTATCAACTCAATGGCGATGGAGAGAGATGGTTGTGCATTATGTTCCCGTGCTGTGGATGAAATTGATAAAATTGCAGGTAAGTAATATTACTTTTGTATTATTTATTTTAGAGTTTTATTCAATTAAAAACTTGTAACATAGAACATTATGAGAATATATTTTTGCTTTTTGTCACATTTCTTCATCACCTATGTAAAATGTAAGATTTTGCTATCTTAAATAGTTAATTGTGTCATAAGTCTTGTTGCTTAGTTGATAAGTCCTTTGTAAAGTAATGAACTCTGTGATAATAACTCAAATGTTGTACCTACTTATTATACATATATATTTTATCATATAATGTATTAATCTTGCAGATATTTTGAAATGTAGTAGCGGATCGCTGCTTTGCAAAAGTCATACTAGACTAGAACGGTATAGTCGACCTATAGTGATGCAGGTAAGGTGTCATTAATTTTTTGTTAAAAAAAAACTTCCTACCAAAGTCTTGTAAGATGAGATGTTATTTACATTCATACCTTACTAATATTATAAATGTGAATGTTTACATAGATGGATGGTTATTTGTCAGAAGGTATCTCCAGAAGTGATGCATAGATCTAGTTGAAAATTGGCATAGATGTAGAACATAGTCTGGAAGAATACATAGGCTACTAATTAAGTTTTTTTTTAATTATTCTCTTGCTATCAGTGGGTACTATATATATCTCAGTCATTATGTTGTATTCTTAACATGAGACATAATTTCAGCACTACCCATTGTACAGAGAGTCAGACAGCTCGTGCACAGAGCCCGATGCAGCACCTTTACCAGAAAGAAATAACTTATTTGTGGAGCGTTGGCACTGTCTCTCTAAAGAGTCAACAGAGTATCTAGTGGAGAGTTTACACCCGCGCGCCGCGTTCGGTGGGCATACGCATCACAGCTGCATGTTGCGACACAGCTTCGTCCCCACTGAGAACCATAAGATTGAGTTTATAGAGTACACGGTTCCATCATTCTCCTGGAGAAATAGACCGGACCCTAAATACTACTTGGTAAGGATATAATTCGACTTTATAATTTTTTACTTTCTAATTCTACTTCTTCCACATCAAGTACCACCTCACAGCCGAGTTCTATTTATGTTTAGGTATAATTTTATCTATTTGTGATTATAAGATTTCATACCGCGGCACAACATTTTGAAACATTTAGGAACTGTAATCAGAGATCCTCAGATATATTTTACTGGGGAGTTTTAACTTGGCTATTTGCTTTACGCGTCACAACATACTAAATGCTACATCTTACAAAAATTAAAAATCTGAAAGTTTAGATGGTGAATGGATGTTACTTTGAAAGCATCTCCTGAAAGGCTCAAGGGATGTTTATGAAATTTGGCACAGATGTAGAACATAGTCTGGAAGAACACTTAGGCTACTAATTAAGTTTTTTTTATTCCGCGTAGACGGAGTCGCGTGCAACAGCCAGTTTATTGTAAATATTAAGCGAGACTTTAAAATTCCAACCTATATAACGCCCAGCTGGTAGAGGCCTACTTTCACTGGTCTGCGAATTATGCATTTTCGAAATCTGTAGTATATTTGTAAACCTTTCCAAATGTACTTGCTTTTCTCGTAGCTACTACTTACGAAATGTATTATTTTACAATTTCAATATATTTCTAATAAATTGAACATATTTATTGATTCAATTAGAACTTGCAGCTTTCCTAAAACGTAAAGAAAAATTACCTAGTTTTGAATCAACTTTGTAAGCTCTGTGCGTCTGAATTTAGCGATATCATTCCAAATCCGCCCAAACCATAAGGCTTAAGGTATTTTCAAGACAGATTAAAAACACAAACAGAAAGACATGGCGTTTACAGGCGTCTACACTATGCCAATTGCGAAGGTATGGCTCTCAAAAGTAGTACTTGCCCTATGTTATTATAGTAATTGGACTGGCACTGGCGCCAGTGAGTTTACTTTGCCAGTGGTATGCTATCACTGATCGAGTGCTACTTGTGAAGCAGGCATTATGTAATTTTTTTTTTACAATCGTGAACTAAAATTGCATAATTCACTTAAACTTCGAATTAAAAAAAAACTTGATTAACGTGTTCTGAACACTGGCAGGCTTGCGATTTTATAATTACCGTCCTCAAACTCGCTTGAATCTTTGAAGGGGTTCCTTTTTTTTAAATAACGATTTTTTTTTGATTCTACTGAATTTGAAGACAACCGATATAGTTTGGTTTATAGTTAGTTATTTGGATGATAAAGAGCAAAGAATAAAACTGGGGTGGTCCATCTTTGTCTCATAGTGTTTCATTTCGTTAAACAGTTGACGTTAAGTCCGGAAGAAGTAAAAGTATCAAAGTGTGCGATGCCTCGCGAGTGGAACATGCAGGTGACAGCAGTTGTTATGTTGCTGGTGCTTCTTCTCTACTGCAAATACCAAATTTCAAGACCGACACCATCCAACTACAAATTGCTGTAAGTATTTTTAAAAGTTATCAAACGTACAAGAATATCTCAGGTGTTAAATGACTATTAGTTTCGTCAATATTACATTTACATTATTGTAATCAAGGGGGGTTGGCAGAGACTTACATGTTCGACAGTTTTCGGGTACCCATATTTTTATTATTTTGTTTCACATTTATAGCACTTTATAAGGTAAAAGTTTGTTTATCTGGAGCAGACAGTTGTATGCATTGAACTACGAGTATCAAACAGCAACACACTTCAATAGCCCTTTGTGTTGTCATAACAATATTCTGCCACTTTACTGATAAATATAATATCTCCTTTTTAACCGACTGACATAGAACGTGTTTGTATTATTTTATATCTTTCATATTTATATGTTCCAGTGTGACCGAGAACCAATTTTTTTTTTAAATTTAAGTACGAACAACAAGGTTAAATAGAACTTTCTCAACAAACCAATTACGTGTTTTAAATTTGACGATTTTGACTAGTGAGGTGTCGATTTGTATTCTTCACCGGAGTCCCATAGGGGTACAGACAGCATTTTTTTGCTTTGAATTAACACATAGTTTAACCTATGACAGATCGCCTTAATGACATAGTATATTTGGTAGATAAGGTTATAGACCGTGAGTGTGCCACTGGAGGGCGCCATTATCAAAATTGACAATTGATCTCTGTTAACATCATATCTTGATGATAATGACATATTTTGTAGTCATAATAATCGACCAGTGGGTTTCTGATATTATCTTTGACAAAACAGAGATAATATGTTTTAAACGAGGATTTTGATCTCAGAAATCGACGGTAAATATGTTTATGAATATTGCTAATCATTAGAAGTAAGTCATTGTCGATTGAATTGTTATGAATCCGTTTGAACTGGTGATAATTGGATTTATTAATTGCTTTATAATATGACATCCATTTGATAACACGTGGCAAGGATTTTTGATACAAGACTTTAGATATTAGGAAGATTATAATAATTATCATAATAAGAAAATGAAATGGTAAGCTTTGAAACTCTTATTTTGAAATGTAATATTGACGATTATTTGTAAATATTTTTTTCAGGACCGGTAAAAAGGTGTGAATCGTGCATATCAGCAATTTTCAATAAATTAAATTATTATTTACTTATTATATATATTTCTTCGACTTCATTATCCCACCGATATTTAAACCTATAATATGTAGTGTCATTTTAGTAATAAAGTAATTTATGTTTTTTTTATGGTTACAAGACTGATTATATGATTTACTGGAAAAAGTCGTTTTATTTTTAAGATTCCAATATTTTTATTTATTAGGTGTAATAAGTAATATTCAGCTTTATGTATGTTATAAATTTTATTAAATACATTAGGAACATTTCGTTTTGCCGTTGGCTAATATGATAAAAAAACTTAAAATCAGTTTAATACTGAAATACAATAATTAAGAAATGCAATATAACGATAAATGCAGCAATACAAATACAATAATTAATTATACATTTAAGTACGTCTCTTATAAAATAATTATTATTTAAAATATAAAAAGTGTATAACGTTTAAAATTAAAATATCAATCGAATAAAGAAACTATTAAAGCACTGTATTAAAAAGTAAAGTAAATACAATAATTTTCATCTATTAATTCTAGAAATATAAATAAAAATATATGTTATTCTGGTATATCGCTGAGGCGCATACCGCCAGGTCGCCGGTACATTCTCTCATGTATGGGCAATTCGCCGACCACGAAGCGCTCCAGCGCCTTACCCGCGCTCTTGGAGTGCCCCGAGCTTCGGAACGCGGTGCTGGCGTCCCCTCCCGCATACTCCAACATTATGTCTGCGCCACCGGGATGCTGCAAACAAAAAATGACATTAATTCATGGCCTCGAAGATGTACTATCAAGCGTATAAGTTTGGTAGATCAAGATTTTCACTGTCTCCGTCTGTCTCTAATTTAAACAAAAAGATTTTAATATAAAATTCGTTATCTTTGTTAATCAAATTATTTTAAAATATGTTAACAGAAATTTCTAGAATTTGAAGATCAAGGTTCAATAGAAATTAAAAAGATAACTCACCTCGTCCAAAAATGTAGTGATATCGTACACGCGGTCGTAGATAACCACCCAGCAGTCGCGTGGCGTGTCGTGCTGGGACACCTCGGCTAAGGTCAAGATGCGATCTTTGGCTTCTGGAGTTCCTGGTTCGATTCGCGTCTGCCATTGAGTCTTGGCCTCGACCGCCCACGGGTTCACGAGGCGTAGAGCTGTCATCGTGAGCGCCATAAAGTCAAACTCCGAGGAGTTCTGGGCGACGGGCAGCGGCGATGGAAGGTTTAGTTCGGGAGGCGCTTGCACGGTAGCCATGACGTCACGATTTAATTAATTACAATAAGTTCTTGTTTCTTCACTGGTTCTTCAATATCTCTGATAGTGCCAGAAAACGCGTCTCTTCACTGAAGGCTCACGTACTCAGATACTGATTATCTGTAAAGAGATAATTATATGCTGTTAAATTTCAGATTTACGGTTACTTTTTAATTTATAGTTAAACAATTTAATTCATAAATTTCCTATTTTAGCTAAATTCCACAAAAATAAATTGAAAAGTTGGTCGCATTTTAAAATTCGGTGTGATATAACTAAAGTTTTTTCAAACAAGGCATAATTTAGTAAGTTTTCCTGGCAAGCGGTCATTTTAAATGAAAAGTTTTCGCGAGCAAATTATCTTCTCAACTGGTTTATCAGTGGTAGGCGCAAGTTAAGTTTTTATGAAGACAAACTTGCGAATCTGCCGATCCGCTGCCTTACGATCCTCGCTTCGTTATCTACACTTGACGTAAATGAAATGTCCAAAATGATAATTTGATGACCCGATCTGACCCCGCTATTATTCGGTTGTTGGACTTATAACCAGATATCATTTGTTTAGTGAATTAAACGATTTTCAAGTGAATTTAACCGAACAGGACTAGTTCTAACTTTCTGCCGATGTTTGTAAACAAGTCGCGTCCGTGTGATTTATGTATGAGGTCATATGAGTTTTAGCGAAAACAAATAATATTTACCCCGTTATCTGATAGATGGAGGGAGCTTCTGTTATCTCTGCTGATGTTCGAAACGTGGAGAATGACTATCACACCAGTTGTCACTGAGCCACCACTGTTCGCAATCGATTAAAGTATTCTGTTTTATAGAATTATGCATGAGAGAGTAGAACATTGCCACAAACTAGTTATACTGTTTGAATTGACATCTATAACTTGTGATTTGTGAATGACTGTCGGAGCGCCGGCGCGGACCTTTTATAGCGGTTCTAGGTGGGCACGCGCCAAATGATCTGATGTAACAGTCGCTTATCTTGCCCGCACGCCGCGGCATCGCGCCTCGCCTCGCCTCGCCCTCCGCAACCCGCGCGCGCCCTGCTAGCACACCTATTGATGTTCAAATGTGGACTATTGAAAAACCTAACGCCTTTTGCATCATCCTATCAAAATTAGTAAATATTTTGTTACTAAAAATATCAAACAAAATTTATGCTCTAATGAAAAATTTAACATTTTTTGCGTCATACACCTATTTGCATATTATGTATATCGGAATATTTAGCATTTGCACTTATTTATGCTGCCGTCTTTTAATTTAAATTATTTTAATTTGCTTTTCCTTTGGATTTTTTTTGTAGGAAGCTTTTAATACAAATATACATGCAAATGAGTGTTAGTTGTTTTGAGTTATTGATGTGCGTAAGGAAATCCCTTATCATTTCGGCTTCATTTCGCAGTAAGCGAGTATAATCATTATTATGTTGCTTGTTTAGATTTCGTAGCATTGAACTTTTCAATCAGATAATCCAAGATGAATATTCTTATCTATTTTTATAAAAGTAGATTTATATAATACATTTTGGATACATGCTACATTATTTTTAATAAGATTACTTATAATGCCCTGAAAAACAAGCAAGCTGTAAAAAGTAACAGGCTGTTTATAAAAAAATTTCGAATTTGGAATAAAAAAAAAGTTGGTGCATTTTAATAAGCATAATTGGCAGCATTATACATAAATTATGCAACAAGATTAAATATCAGGTGAGAGCGACATAGACCTTGAAATATGCGATTCTTTCAAACTTGGCATTGGTATATGTAAAATGTTTAATATTGTAGACAGTTTTCTTTCAAATCTTATCCAATATTACATAATATATTTCTGTAGATTGTATATTAGTTTGAGAATTTTCTAACCTTAATTTATGCAAATTAGCATTCCAATGGGCGATGGTATCAATACAATAAATTCTAAGTTTTTGTTTTATACGAAGATCTTTTGGTTAAAAAAAATGTTTGTCATGTTAGGGTTCCATTTGTTTATTTTCTCGAACTTTAAGTAGGCAAAAACATGTAAAGTAATATATTATCACGCTCTTTCACAAAAGAAAGGTACACATATAGTACTATGTAATTAATTATACATCTACAGCAGTGGAAACTCACCTTAAAACAAACTAAAAATGTTCTTGCGAACTATTTTAGTAATTTTTCAAAAAATAATAAAAAATCAATCCATCCAAATTAAGCCATCTAATTTGTATCTAATCCGTTTAAAGCGAAATCAATGATTTTAGTATGTATACAATTTTTTAAATAACAAATATTACTGATTTTTGTAATTAAAACTTTTTCTTCGCTTATTATGATAAGATATAACTTAGTTTACATTTTATTATAATTGCTTAATATTTTTTTATTACCACGTATATGTTAATTATCATTTCGCGGTATTCCAAATTTAATAACTTGATATACTTAATAATCTTCGTTGCCTGATAACTTATTCCGTGACACGCATACGTTATGTGGATAAAATCAATAATTAAATAGATGACAAGGTTTTATTTGCGCATTTCAGAACGTTACTAATTTAATTACAGCCGAATCCGTAATTCGACCCCTAAGATCGGTATGAAGATGATTATATTGAAAGTTTGAATAATAGGATGGTAGATACAAAATTTTATATATATATTTACCTGTAACCAATAGTTTATTTTAGGTTGCTATTGTGCTCCATAGATAGTTTACCTTTTAGGCATAAGTAAATGATTAAAGATCGATTAATGAGATCGGCTGGTACTGGCCATGAAGTGAGAAAAAAAAATCTAAGCTCATATCGTGATAGGCAATTGATATACCGTTGGTTGAATTCGAAGAAAAAAGTTCGACAATATTTTTTACTGTATTTAAATTATAACTCTGTTCGATTATTATTTAACTTAAGATTTTTTTGTTCGTAAAATTAGCTTCGTTTATTTCCTTTCATTTATCATTAGTTGACTATCTATCTCAAAACTAACATTCAGTGAACGAACTCTGCACAAGCCTCTACAATAAATGTAAACAGGTTTATCATACAACTATCGCGACTGTAACCTTTGTAATGGTACTTTTTTTGTAGTTTTTTGTTGCCGAATTTATTACCTATTACTTTTAGGCGGTTATAAAAAGCTATCAATGTTATCTAAAAATAAAAACGTGGTAATACCAAATTTTAACCTTAAAATATACTTAAAAATAACCCAAAAGTAAAGTACCTGGTTACAGATTATTTTAGATGAACGCTTTGACGTAAGGAAATAAAAATCAGCCTGCGAATCGAGTAATGAACATAATCTTACTAATATTATAAATGCGATAGTTTTGGTGTATGGACCAATGGATCCATACTTGTTTGTTAGAGGTTTTTGCAAAACGGCTCTACGGATTTCTATCATATTTGAGATACATGTAGAACATAGTTTGGAAGAACACATAGGCTACAAATTAGTAACTGTTTTATTCGGCGCGGCTGGAGTGGCAGGCAACAGCTAGTATATGTGTTTACTACATTATAGGTAATCAGTAACGTCTTGCAAAACAAAATATATACGTCAGATACAAAGATCTTGATAAAATATAACAAAATAACATAATGACGTTAGAAGACGTAATATTTTGAGCACGTCATTGTTTTCGTTTCACGTAAACTATTTTATTGGCTGGTGTTA